TCAGAGGCACAGAATGAGTGGACACCCCTCTGCAATACAAACAACTATGGGTTGTAATGTCCAGTAAAAAAGTGATTTTTAACCATTTTGCTGGTCATAATTACAGGTGTCATTGCTGTAAGAGGTTGAGAAAGTGCTTGTTTCTAGATTAGATACAGTCCTCAGACATATGGCATTCGCTGCACCTGTCCAGAAATACTACTCTATCTCTCCGAGTGTAACGCTACTAATATAACTCACTTTGAAGAAAGTACTATTTGTACCACAGACTTGCACTGAAGAAGGCAATAAGCAATGCATGTCTATACATGTAGGTTTGAATTGCGAATATTTTCTGGTTTTGACCAGTTAACAGCTTAAACATTTCCCTTCCAATATAAGATGTTATATTTGAGATAATTGAAAATGTCAAGGACATGTTAGCCTTGGTGAAAGTAACTGAGGTAATTTTTTTATCATGATTTTTTTTTTTTTCTTGAATTTTCGTTTTTAATTCTTATGTAGACTTTTGTTACACACATTCCTATAAAATCTTAGTGATACTCACACAAGCGTCAAATTCATTCACAAACGTTGATAGCTATGTAAATTTTTTCTTGCTTTACCTCTACTTGCTGGTTGCCACTTGGATACCCATGACGGCCTTTAGTCAGGTTTCGGTAGATTACTTATTCTTGTTGTGTTAATATAACACTGTGTTTATGGTTGTCATCATTATGGTTCAGTATCTCTCTGAACATCATTTATGATACTGCAAATAAATACAAACTCCATTCATAGCATATATAGTGTGTCTCCGATACGCCACTAGTACTGTGGTATATATATTCGTTTCTCTTACTATTGATGTATTCTGCTTTTGCTAACGTATCAATTGTCTATTTAAAGTTTTTTGTCTTGCTGTAACATAAAAAGATTTTACTATTTTTTACGTAACATATACATGATACAAATCATTTATTTTGAAGTCCTGCTTGAAATGACAGCAAGTTTATGATTTTTTCAATGCCTGTAGGGTATTACAATAACAGTGACAGCAAGCCTTCCAATATCATGTTTTCCTGGTCAATAAACACATCAGTCCAATTTGCCACACGAGAGGCATCTGTCTGTGCTTTATGAGTATATGTTCCTCACATGCTTGGCTGCTGTGGAACTCGATCCTGATGGTGTCCAAGCTGACAAGTTGAGACAGTTTTATGGGTTGTCTTACAAAGACGAGAATGATTTTTGACCATAACCGGTGAAGATTTTCTCCTGTCATATTTTTTTGAAACTGATAGTCTGGATAATATTTTTCCAATAATCTGGACAACACTGAAACATCTCTATCATTAGTGTGGACAACTGCTAAATCCCTTTATTAGTTAATCCCCACACTAGGGAGATTCTTTCCTCATTGGCCTGGATATCAGAAAAAAAAACTTTTCTCATTAGTTTGGGCAACAAAGACACCCATCTCTCATATTCTAACAAAACAGAAATCCCTTTGGGCAATACCCCTTTTTCAATGATTATAACAAAAGAAGGATGGAGTTGGATATGATGGAAAGGGATGAACATGTGAGGAAAGATAGGAATGGGGTAGGTGAAAAGGTAGGATAAAGGAGAACAAAGATGAAATCACTGACTTTTGTCCTTATTAATACCAAAGAAGTATGCAGATGTGTGTTATATAACCTTGAGAAGTGTGACCTTGACTTTGTAATTAGATAGCAAGAAAGAAGTGTCTGGGACCATATTGAAGTTTTGCCCCTGAAGACCACTTAGGGTCGGCAGGGATGCACTTTGTGGTAAGAGACAAATTTCACCCGAGAAGGATTTTTCTTTTTAAACAGAATTAAACTTCTGTATTAGACCTTTGTGTTCATGATCAGTGTTCTAATATTCTATTGTTTTTTTTCTCTAATCAAAATCTTTTCAGCAGCAGAAATGATTGATATTTTTGGTCCTACATTACTGTCATACCAGACAGTTGTTACGTTTCTGCTGTCTTTTAAAACTGCTGGCTCTGTGTGGATTTATGCTTCTCGTTCTTTTAGAGAAGTACTTTGAACTAACATATAACATTTCATTATTTGTGGTCCTTTAACAGCAGTTTTTATTTCTCTTTTTAAATGAAAAGGAGAGAATGCAAAAATACATTGGTATGTATTTCCATTCTGGTATTTTAGCTTTACATACTTGTTTAAAAGTTGTTTGATGCAGAGGCTGCAAAGACAAAGGAAGAAGCTTTATTCAAAGTGACAACACAAATTTTTCCACATCTCCAGGATAGATTTAAAGAGTAACACTAGATATATGTTAGCATAACTGTGGAGATGGTGTTGAAGATTGTTACATGTGCAATCAGTTTCCATGTTACATTTAGATGCACGTTACTGTAAAAATGCACGAAAGAGCGGGCTTAATGTTTTCATAATTGAAAATGCATTTCTGCCAACAGTAATTGTATATTGAGTAAAAATATTAGAAATTGGTAAATTTGCCTGCATTCTTGAAGACAACACATTCTGCAGTCTTTCACCACACCAAAACATATACAGTATTGTGGTAAATATGATGAAATTCAGATAGATTGTGTAAATGACCAGTTTGTTGTCATAATTTCTATGTTTTAATGTACAAAATGGAATGAATCTAGCTTATCTGTTGTGTTTCATTTAAATCCAAATTTAGATATGCTTTGTGAAAATTTACTTATGAATAACTGAATTGCAGAATTTAAGCAATACATGATTTATGTCTCAAAACAATACGAAGGGCTTCATCATCTGCATGACATTTACCGTATACATCATCTTGTAATGATAACACAATGAAATGGAGTCTAATAAATGATATTAGCAAGCGTCTCACAGCACTACAGATAATGCATTTATCTTGCACATTGTCATAAAATGTTTTAAATAGTACCATACTACTGCAAAGTTTGTTTGCATGGAATGGGTGCTTTATAGCCATGCAGAGCTCCCAACAAGCCAAACAGATGGCGCACAACCGATTTAATTACTGGCACGTCTGATGAATATATGTATTTTAATAGTTTTCATATCTTGGCGTATAGTGTATGTAGGTATGCGAGATAGCTGTAGACAATGAACAAGATGTATCTCCTGGACACACATTGTGTAGCTGAACCAAGAAGGGGTTGCTGTTGTAACCAAATCGCTTATTTCACAAGAGATAACTATTAACATGTACAGAGCGCTGATCCCCATGTCATCTGCATCTGTTCAGTTGTTGGAGGGCCAACCATCACTTAACTAGAAATTAAACAGGAAAGAATGAATTAAAAGATTAATGTTTCATGTTTTGCTGTGACTTTCTATGAGGAAACTGATCCATCATATGGTGGCTAGACTATTTATCCTAATGTGCGATTATAAGAAACCATAACATTCCAATTATTTTGATTAGATGGATCAAATGTCCTTGATTATTTAGAAACATATATGAATTTTGAACTCTGGAAGAAGCAGTTCCTTATGATGGCTGTCAAAAGTGTCATGTTGACGGTATTTCTGGATCTAGTTCAATCCTGTATTGCATTCTTCAGAAATTTATAGTTATGTAATTTTCTACATCTCTTTTCCAGAGCTTTGTAGGTGTTATGTAGACAGGGTGAAATGTTTTTGCTAGAGATTGATTTTGAACAGGTCATTATTACTCTCTTCTTTCTCTTGTCAAGGAGACCAAGAATTCATTCTAGGGCATCGAGCTAAGCTCACTCTAATCTTAGAACATTTATATTTGAGAACATTTAGATAGTAAAGGAATAGTGTACTAATGAGATGCCCCAATTGATGTTGCAACCACTCCATATAACAATCTAGAATTTTGAACTCTGAGATAATTCACCTTTAATTGGACAAAGAAAAAAAGGAAAAAAGAAAATAGACAGATAGGAACTGATTTCTTTTTAGTAATAATTATGAAAATAACAATGTAAAAACTTGTTTGAGCTTCTTTGTTATTCAGATATCTATATATTTTGACATGGTTTGAGTATCTTTCTATAAGTTTAAAGTCTAAGTTTGGTGTGTATGAGATCAGGTCAGGATCAACATGGATACCAAGGCCTGTCTGCTGAACATAGACCAGTGTCACCAGATAAAACATTCACATAATCTATTTGACACTCCCTACCTATATATTTAGTATATTAATGCATTAAAATCGATATTCTGTAAACCTTTTCACACAGTTTTAGATCAATATATTTGTTTTTCTTCTCCAGCTTTTTATACTTTCTAGGTTGACATGGACAAAGTTGCTACCTGTATAAATACCATCGATTACAGTAATATCATGGCTAGTATTTTACCTTGTCGATGGTAAACACCTTTTTGTTTTGAAAACATGTATTTCAAATTGATGACTAGATGATATACAGCATGGTGTAATTGAGGTATAACACAAGTGAGACTGCCGTCTGTTCAATATTCTTCCTATAATTGTCAGGCCCTTTTCTACAAGACTGCAACCTTTTTATGCCACAAAAATATATCTCTTGAAGTGTATCAATGCTGAAGGTTGAATATTGTGTAAAAGGAAAAGAAGAATTATTGGACTTCTTGGATCAAAATGAATATTGATACATTACAATATGCAGGAGTGTATTGTCAAATTTCAACCAATTGAGTGTAATTCTGATTGAAAGTAACTGATCTAAATTACACTTAAAATGTGTTTGAAAATTTGAAAGAAAGGAAAAAATGAGCTGTGTTGCTCTTGAAGTAGACTAAGCTGGTTTCGTTGGTTAAAGCAAATGTTATGCAGTAAGTTAACGTTAGGCTGTTTGTATTTGTAGATGGATGTACAAAGGGTTTTATTGTTATAATTTCTTTGACTGACCATATTCCATGTATGTATAATACAGGTACCATCAGGTAACAAAGTTTGACTTAAGTTAGATGATTCCAATAATACCATAAAAGGAGTTGGTCTTGATGTTTTTGTTTAATCATAAGTTTTGAATTTTATTTTTATATTTTCAGTGTGTTTGTGCACAAGTCAGGACTCTTACTACTTTAGCCGGAAACCAGAGAGTCAGTCTGTTGCTGAAAATAGTGAAGCCATCCTCTATTGTGACGTATCGAACAGAAAGTTCATAGAATTCAGCTGGCTTTTAGGGGAACAGCCGATTCAAGACACAAGTCGGAGATTTCAGGAGGGCAGCAACTTAAGGATACTTCGTGTAACAAGGAACGAGGATGAAGGGCCTTTCAATTGTGTCGCAACAAACAGATCCACTGGCTTTGCCCTGCAGAGTACTGATGCCATGCTCAACATACAATGTAAGTACCCTTTGTTTCAATCTTCTGTGAAAAATCCAGGTGAGGTGATGTCATGATTAAAAAGTGTGCAGTTTAAAACAGTACTGTACACAGGAGAGAGTGACGGTCAAGTACTGTACACAGGAGAGAGTGACGGTTAAGTACTGTACACAGGAGATAGTGACAGTTAAATACTGTACACAGGAGAGAGTGACAGTTAAGTACTGTACTCAGGAGATAGTGACGGTTAAATACTGTACACAGGAGAGAGTGACAGTTAAGTACTGTACTCAGGAGAGTGACAGTTAAGTACAGTACCTGTACATGTACCCTTATTGTATTATCAAGATTGTAGCCAGTCAAGGTCAAAGGTCACATTTGACAATTTTTTTTAATTCAAAATGACACTTTGTACATTTATTCATCAGTCCAGGGCATTCTTGCCTATACATATATTTTCTTGTTTGTGCCATAGTTTTGTATGATGTAGCAAAATAGTTAAGTTCCTTGTCCAATTGAGGAACTGTGCTGAAGTTTCTAGACATATAGCTGTCATGGTGATCATATACACATACAGATGTCAAGGTCATCTGTTCACTTTGTCAGGAGTTGTCTTCAGTTCATACTCACTTTCCCCAAGCAGCTGTAGGCAAATACTCAGGATTGACTTTAACCAATAGTTATTTCTACCACAAGTTTGTCAATAATTGTTTCTTTGGAAACAAATCCTTGAATGTCACGTAAGAAAGGAAAATCAATAGTACAATAGCCAAGAGTCCATCTCAAAGAAATCATTTGTTCAACACAGAATAGATTTTATCTAAGGATGTTGGAATATTTAAAACTTCTGTTGAAATTTCAGAACATTTTTTGGCATCCTTTTGAAAACATGTTCAAGAATTAAATCTCAATCTTAAGTGCACATTTTAATTTTTTGTAAAATATCTTAATTGCTACTTTTATACTAATCATGGGTATTGCTCCATCTGTTGGGATATCTTGGCCAACTTTTTCAATCTTCAGTGATAAGATATCTTCCTATCTGCATGATATTACATATTTAGATTCCTGTAACAGGGCAATATGTGAGGAGTCGTTGGTGGCCAATTATGTATATGGGTGCTGTTGTGGATATTATCTATATCACGGTCTAGTTTTCATTAGGTAATGATGGACACTAGGAATATTAATGCTGGGAGCTTCATTGTGACTCAAGGAACTGGCTCTGAAATGTTTTGTTATAATTAATATCTAATTGGTTGTGTCTTAGTCAGTTAAACAATGATAAAAATACCTTTCAACTACAGCTTTATATACCTATTGAAAACAGTTTTAATGTTTAACTCTGCTAGACAATGGATATTACGCCAAGCTGTTGTGGATATTGATTAAATTCTGTTAGATAACCATCAGTAGACGATATTTACATGTTGGTTTGGAGAACCTAATTACCTGCTGATTGGCCAGCTGTATGGTGCAGTTTACCATGTTTACAGTTAAGGAAGTTTCTGAATCAACACATCCTCCTTGTTACAGGAGGCTGTCAATGGTTCACCTGCCAACACCTTGTCCACCCTGAAATATCACAATAGGTAGGCTCCATCTTTCATGCAGTTACATCTTCATGCAGACATAGGGGTATAAGGTTAGTTGGTTTGGGAATGATAGCTGTCACCTTGGTGATGAATGGGAAAACCTGAATGTTTCTATTTCTTGCATTGATACTTATGTAAAAGCCTAGAGAAAAAGCTTGGCTGTTTAATGAAAACAGTGATGCACCTTGCACCATGTGTCGGCTGGAATAACAGATTTGCCTTTTTGTTGTTTATATAAACTCCAGAAATCCTTAAACTTCTAACTAATTAATGAGTGTCAGGTAAAGGAGTGCTGACCAAAAAGTTTCAAACTAGAACTGCTTTCACCAGTAAGCTTTTCTCTTATCCTTTATTGAGAATTTTCCCTGTGATATTCCTGTCGATTTAGCAGGATTTATGTGTACAGGAATAAAATTGTACACTTGGAAGTAATTCTTTGTCCTTTCCACCAGGAAGAAAAAACCTCTGTTTCTTTTCTGTCTGCTTCTGTCAGTCTATCTCATGGTAATCTGGTATCCAGGGATTGATTTAGATAGAGACCCATTTCCCAATGGAAAAAGGCTCCATTTCTATCCAAAATTTCTGGAATTGCGGCAAGATTCTATGATTACACTATTAAAATTACTATATTTTCCCCCCTTTTTATTCAGAACAAAGGCTCTTTAGACTATGATTGGTTTTGTTCCTGGATTTATAATAGGATTTTTTCATCTTTACATAAATGTAACAGTTTGTACAACGTTGAAAAAGATGACCAACTGGTTGGTTTCATAGGATGGTTTTGTAGAGGAAGCTTTTCTCTGGTACCTTTAACTCAATGGATTGAGTTGTACAGTAAATTAATTGTTGTATCTCATCCTTCATAACACATGCAATGTTTATCTACGTCATTCTGTAACATTATTACCTGTCATTGAGACATTTTGTTCATTGTTTCCGGTACTTCACTAGGAGTTTGACTCAAGGTTGTGTGGTTGACTTACATTAAAAATGTCTTGCAGCTTTTGGGAATCAAGGTCACTTAAGTGCTTGGCAGTTTTAGCCATCTGTTCTGTTAGCAGAAAACCGTTTGTCAGTGACTTGACGGGATTGTGCAGCAAATACACATTTTCTTGAGGTAAACAGAGGCATTTTCTTGTACAAAACAGACGGTTGCACCCAATGCTAGAGGAGCAATTAATACTCTCAAGAGTCCATCGTCATGGATACGAAAATGAGCAGAATTGACCCAGTTGACACTGAGCACGTTAGATAAGTGGGGATTTTTAGTGTATTCACACGTTGTACCATTCAGTGTAATGCAAAATTTTCCGCTATTATGATGCAGATCCTCAGGCTTGTGGCATTTTTAATGAAACCAGACATTCTACTGTAGTCTTGCATGAGATTTTTTACCGGTCCTTTCTCTGAAATGCAAAAACATGCAGCTGTACTTTATCAACTACAGGGACACGTGTGGAAGAAACTGGAATTTTTTAAAGATACTTTCCACAGTATATGTTCACTTTGCCGAAGGGCTCTTTTCATTTTCTATCATCAGAACAGATGCTGATCAAATGTTCCTAGGATTTATAACAACCAGAGATCCTCCCAGGAAAACTGCAAGAGTGAAACCACGATAGGTCTGATCAAGATGTCCTGGGTGTCTGTAAGAATAGCAAAACAGTGCAATAGGTCAATGAGTTGACGTTTAAAAGGTGAAATCCACAAAGAAAGCCCCTAGGTAAACATTGCCGGTTATACAGCTTCCGTCTAACATCTACACATCTCTGTACAACTCCCTTGTCCCATAAAATGTTTCATGGGGTGTGACTGAGGTGACATTCTGTGCTACTATAAATCATTATCTGTACATCTGCAAAAAGTGAGCGCAGCAATGAATACTTGAAACTGCATTTCAAAGGCGTTTTTATATAGATGCATCCAAAACATGATGTTAAGTTTTGTGAATCTTGATTCAGATTTGTTTTCATCGGTTCAAAAACTCACCACAGCAGAGATACCAGTACATTACACTACATTAGGAGAAAGATGTGATATTTTGATTTTAAAATAAATAAGCTAACTGACAAGTCTGCTTCTTTTTAAATTCTGTAGGGGCATTATAACTCAGCATTATGTGTTTTGTGTGAAATTTTCTTCCTTTATCCGCAATTAGTTGTGACTTTCATTTGTGTACCATTACTTGTTTTTGTGATTTTGTTAACGGAATTCTAATCATGTAGTTAAGAGAATGAAAAAGTGGATTTGTCTAAAGATGGATCCAGATGTGAAGCAAGTTGTGTGCACTTTAAGAGACGTTTATATTTCTTGCAGTTTTATGATTATTCATTGTCAGGACAATCTGGACGTAGGGTGGTGCCTTATCACTGAAATTGCAACAGTGATATTATCTATAAATTGTTTCCAAAGAAGAAACAGTGTTTAAGGTCCTGCTTTGGCTCAAAGCAAATTTAGCTGGTGTATTTTTTTCTGATAAATTGAAAAAATATTGAAATGGCAGAAAACAATTGAAGTCAAAAGATTTTTCTGATTGATTTAAACCTGTAACTGGTAAAGTATTGAAACAATTAATCTATTTACTGTTAATATTTTGTTATTTGTATTAAGTGTGGAAGACTTATATCTGTTAAGTGCCTTGACAGGAATTGAACCCAGGTCTGTGGTCTGATAATCCATTCTATACCAGCGGAGTCAAAAAAGCATTCCTTTTACACTAGAAACATGTCTAAAATGGCTTCAGTTGTTTTGTATTTGGACTTTCAGAGTTAAGTCATCAATGTATAATCATATCTCTTAAATAATATGCAAAATTTACTGGCCGGGTTTATGATTGAGGCATTTAAAATTAGGGACCAAATTTCTTAAAACTGTATCTTTCATGTTAAACTTGGAACACTTGGTAATTTCTGATAACATCTCCTGATCACACGACTAATTTAACCATCAAAGGACAGCACCACTTATACAGTATTAGAGAAAATATGGAAACAAGGCAAACTACACGGCTCTGAAAGAAAAGATAAGTAGGAAAAGCATGTAAACATGTAACAGGTAAATCAGGAACAGCTATAACACTGTGTCAACAGATTACCTCACTACTTGGACAGTAGAGAAAGTCTGCTGGCGACTAAGCCATCTTGATATAATTCAACAGAGATTACGGCAGATTGGAGTAGTGTTGGCTAGGTATCTCAAAGGATATCCTTCCCTGTTGTGTTTATTCAGTGAAATATACACCAAATATGGAGGATAAGCTGTCTGGATTTTATTTATAGAATGTTCCTAAGAGGTGTGTCTGTAGTAATCAGCCAGTGATAATACCCAAAGTAGATCTAGCCCTTCAGTAAATGTTGTCATGGATACCTCTCCGGGGCTGTTGTCCTTCATTAAAAATAATGCTAATGGCCACTGGTCATTTGGTTT